TATTTGTGGATGAATTCAGCAAAGGAAATTTGGGATAGTGTTACTGAAACATATTCCCAAAAATTAAATGTGGCCAGGTTTACAAGTTGAGAAGTGATGTGAAGAATTTGAGACAGGGGGAGAAACCATTAGCTGTATACTTCTCAACACTGAAGTCTTTATGGCAAGAAATAGATTTGATAGAAGTTGTAGCTTGTGACACCACTAAGGATGCTGAGACCTATAGAAAACTGGTTGAGAGAAATAGGGTGTTTGAGTTCTTGACAGGGCTAAATCCAGAGTACGACATTACAAAGCAAAATATTTTATCCAAGGATAGTGTCTCACAGTCTCAAGCATATGCCTTGGTAAGTAGTGAAGAAAGCAGAAGACTTGTCCAGGTCCAAGGGGCTGATTTAAATGATCACTTTGCTAATATGGGAGTGAAACCCAAGGGGTTGCAAAGACTCCAAGTAGCTCAGGGAAGAAAGAGATTATCTGTGAGTATTGTAAAAAGCCAAAACACACTAAAGACAAGTGCTGGAAATTGCATCCTGAGCTCCTACCACTTCGGTTTCAGAAGAAGTCTGATAATATAAAGGCAGGGAGTGCCAATGTTGTTGTTGGTCTAGATAGTGACAGATACCAAACTAAAGAGATGACGGCTAGTGAGCAGTTAGCAGCTATGAAGGCATATATGAGAAGTTTGGGAGGCTGATCAGTCACCTAGGTATACGGGCTTCTGCCAATCATGCAACCATTTCAGGTAATCGTAGGATCCCTTGGATTATTGATTCTGGTGCTTCTGATCATATGACCAGCCTTTCTACTTTGTTTGTTTCATATGATTTACTTCCTGGATGTGACAAAATCACCCTAGCCGATGACTCTCTTGCCCCTATCTCCGGCAAGGGAACCATCAAGGCTATAGACTCCTTGGTTCTTCCTTCTGTTCTTCATGTACCCAGACTAAATACAAACTTGTTATCTGTAAGTAGCCTAAGTAAGTCATTAAACTGTTGTGTAACCTTCTTTCCTTGCTACTGTGTTTTTCAGGATCTGAAGTCTTAGAAGGTGATTGGGAGTGGCCGTGAGGCGAATGGAATATATCTACTGGATACTCCTGGACAGTACCATGAACAACCTGGAAAAGATGCTTTTGGGTCTACATC